GACAGGGTTCCCTTGCTCCACATAGCAGCTGCATATGTATGCTATGCCTTGCCAACCCTGGTCTAGGAAGTCAGGATTGGACCAAGGTGTCAAAGGTATGGCCTGTGGGCAGGATCTGTCTCATGGAACCCTACCATCTCTCCTGCTGTGCTATTTGTGGATCTTGGACTGGACCCACATGCCAGATGTAGTGCAGACTGGCCCAGCCCTGTGCACTGCTTGTAGGGCCGGATCTGGCATGCAGTGCATACAGTGCACCACGTCAGCCCTGTCCATTTGATCCAATGCACAAATCCAGACCATGGGCCAAATTTTTTTCTGTGGACTGGCCCCATGCCACACATCTGACTTGTGGATCAGCTCCTTGCCATTCATCTGGCTTGTTGGACCTGGTGAGTTTGACGTCCCTGGACTAAACAGTTTTAAATTGCATATTTTAATATTGCTGGTATTCAGTCTTTAAGTACATCCAATTTTCCACAAGATGGCAAATGCAGCAATGTTGCTTAAGAACATTCACAAGTTGTATACTACTAATATAAGAGCAAAACTTCAATTAATTGGTTCAGCAAACACTTGAGATTTATGAGTTTTGTATGAATGCACTTATTTGCTTTCAAGGAGATGAATATCAGTGTAAATAAATGTGATATTTTATCCCAGCCCTAACTATTTCCTGTCTAGAACATGGTTCTTTCTCCTGCAACCTAATTTTATTTGTAAGGATATATGACACAGAAGCCATTTGGAATGCTGTTTTTTAACAAGCATTTATTATTTGTAGAGACCCTGTGGCAGAGATGCCACCATCTGTGTCTCTCTCCAGAAACATGTCCCGGTTGGCTTGGGACACTGGGGTCGAATTCCTAAGGGAGGGGCGATTTTCCTCCCTGCCTGTGTGACAAAAGCCGGGTGCCTAGGGTGCGGTCCCTCTGGTCACCTGAGTGAGGGAGGGGAAAGCCCCTGCTCCTCGTCCCAGGTGACCAGTGATGCTTTTTAAATTGGTTGGCTAGTTGCCAACACTTCTGGCTTCTATTGGACTGGGCTGCTGAGGTCAGAAAGGCTATATAAGGGCCTGGTCCAAGAAGAAGGGGAGAAGCCATTTTTACCAGCATGGCACAAGCATCAGGACACAGGGAGAGAGTCTGATCCAACTGAAATGCTCTCTCTCTGGAAATCTCCGAGCCAGATCTCTACCATCTTCTGGATGATACTTGTAAGTGTTTCTAGAGAGTTAGTCCGCTCACAGTGATGCATTTGCGTATCAAACGGCTACCTCAGCCAGACTGTTTTGCTCAGTGGTAATCCCTTGATAGTGCTCTACCTGTTACCCTGTTCTAACCCTACCCTCTGTAACCAATAAAGTTCTTCTTTGTGACTGGTGTAGGAGACTTATTGAGGGGTGGGTTTAATTATGCCTAGGAGGCCCCTTAGGTCTGTGGACTAAGGGAGACTATCCTTTTTTGGCCCCCGACTTGGGGAGGAGCCCCAAGTGCTTGGATTGGGTCGAATACCCGTAGGACTATTAGGCCTGTGTTTCCCCGAGGACACAGAACCTAGAAGGTCCCCACTCAGGGTGGTGGCGGCACGTTAGCCCCGGACTCTGTGGTGGGGCTCAAAAGGGGGTCTGCCAGGGCTTAGGTGCCCCTGGGGAGACACGTGGAGTCCGGCAGGTGGGTGGGCATAATGAGGTGGGAGGCTCAGCGCCACTCGTGGTGTTAGAGGTGGGATCCAAATACCCTGCTGTATTAGAGGCATAATTTGGGGAAAAGGAATAGAGTCACTGGAAACCCTTGAGCAAACAATTATCAATTCGGTATCGGGTCAACTGGACATGTAGATAGCCAGGATGGCTGACAAGTATGTCCAAATGACCGTACCCGAACTAAGAGAACTGGTGAAAGAGAGAGGCCTTCACGTGAGGAAGGAGCATAAGAAAGAAGACCTGATTAAGCTCCTGTGTGATGATGATCAGGCCTCATCATCTCCTCCACACCTCCAGTCAACAAGCGCTGAGGGCTCTGATGGGCCACCCTCTGAGGGGGAGTTGCGGAGACTCCAGCTGCAGCTACAGTTGAAAAAGATGGAGCTGGAGGCCCAGCATAAGCGCGAGAAGGTACAGCTAGAATTGAAACGGATGGAGGTGGAGGGCTGGCATAAAGAGGCCGAACGCCAGGAGAGAGAGAAGACAGCATAGCGGGAGGCAGTGTGCCAGGAGGCAGAGGCCAAGCGCAAGCACGAACTAGAGGTACTCCGTCTGCGGCCCAACAGGGGAGATGCAGGCCCTCTGCAAGCGCCCAGGGGACACCCCAAACCTCAGCCTTCTCTCGCTACCAAGTCGGAGACGATCCTGACGTATTCCTCAGCATCTTCGAAAAACAAGCCCAACGGTGGAAGGTGCCAGAGGAAGAGTTCATGATGCATATGGCTGCTGTGGTAGAAGGCAACATGGCCGTGGTCCTGAATAACCTGCCTGTGGAGCAAGCAGATGACTACAAGACCTTCAAGGAGGCAGTGCAGTTGAGGTTTAACCTGGGTCTAGAGTTCTTCCGCAACAGGTTCTGTACTACTGTTCCCCAGTTGGGAAAGTCCATGCATGAATGTCCATGCACAAATTTGCGTCCCTGATATGGGACTCAATCCAAAAGTGGAGGAAAGGGGCTTCAGCAGATACGGTGGAGAAGATGGACATGCTGATTGTGCTGGAACAGTTCTATGTTCAGTGCCCGAGAGAGATTAAAACCCTTGTCCAGGACAGAGGACCTGAAACCCTCTGGGAGGCTGCTAAAATTGCAGACCAGCTATTGCTACACCGACAGGCACAGGGGCTGAACCAGAAGCCCTACTCTGGGATGGAACAGAAAGGGTTCCAAAGAGGGGGGAAGGGAGGTGCAGGTCCAAAAGAGGAAAGAGGGCCACCTGCTGCTGAGCACAAGGTGGCCCCAGATTCGGGCAAACCACCCAATTCGGAAAAGAGGGGGTGCTATAACTGCAGGGAGCCGGGCCACATCAAGCCCAACTGCCCAAAGCTAAGCACCAAACCCAAGCCCGTCAGACATGCAACAGCTGTAAGCAGTGAGGGGGGAGACCTGAGCCACTCTGAGGGGTGTGCCTGTTGCTACAGGATTACAAACCCAGAGAAGGTGATGGCTTTCCACCGGACTAAGATAACGGTAAATGGGAGAACCCTTGTTGGGGAACTGGACACAAGGTCCAGTGCGTCATTAATCAATGCCAACCTTGTTTCACCTGCAGATATAATCCCAGGGAGGACCCTTATGATTCAAGGGGTGGGGTCCCCAACATTTGAGGTACCAGTAACCTGTCCCTCCATCGAGTGGAGAGACTGCGGGATGTGCATAGAACTGGGTGTGCTGGAAGGAGCTCCAGTCCCCATCCTGGTGGGACATGATATTATGGAGATGGAATACCTGCACAGGGAGGAGGGCCACCTCCTAGAGCTAGAGCCCTACCGGGTTAAAGTGGTGACCCGTCAACAGAGCCAAAAGGCTAAGGCGGGAGGAGTGGAAACTTCCCAGGGCCTGGTCACCCAACTGGCTACAGAGTCAGAGGGGGAGGAAGGAGAGACTCTGACTCCCTCTGACTGCAGTCAGCCCCTGGCCATTGAGGAAACCAGTGACCTCGAGGTTGGGTTAAGTGGCAGTCCCAGGGAGAAGTCTGGTCAGTCAGTGGCAGAGCAAACAGACTCCCAGGGAGGAATCCTAAGAAATCCCTGAGGGTGGGGGTGCAGTCCTTGCAGGAGCACCTGAACTCCCTATTGATTGGCAAGCAGAGTTCAAGCAGGAGGTTCTAGCAGACCCTAGCTTGGAAGAACTCCGGCAGATGGTTCAGGAGTCAGAAACGGAGTTCACCCCAGAAAAGAGGGAACAGGTGGTCTGGGGCAAGGGACTCCTTTATCAGTTGTGGATACCTAAAAACCAGGCCAAGACCTGGGAGCCATGTTGGCAGCTCATAGTGCCCCGAGAGTTCAGGCAACAATTGCTTTCCTTGGCTCATGATTTACTTTGTGCCAGTCACATGGGCAGGGAACGGACTCGCCAGCAGCTGCAGGCGAACTTCTGTTGGAAGTATATGGGCCAATAGAAGTTCTTCTATGACCAGTATATAGCAGCATCTGATTCAAAGAGCTTACAGATGCTAAGAAAAACGTAATGGGGGACATGACAAACAAGCAGGCTAGGAATAATGCATGTTAGCAACAGAGTAACAAAAACAGGGTGTGCTCAATTCTTTATAGTAAAATTCACAGCACACCAACCACCTAACAGAATGCAAGTTGGGTTTTCTCCTTTCCCAAAGATTGCATTTTTCTGTAAGCATCTTGAAGAGGGACCTGAAGATTAAAGATTTTGACTAGATCTTTTTCCCCACGTGTGGAAGTAGATATGGAACTGCTTGTGGAACTGCCATATGTGAAAAGATGTGTTGGTGTTTGTCTTGGTCTTAAGTATTTTCACAAAAATATTACATCAGTTAACACTAATCAACTTGCTTCATGTTTGCATTTTTAGCACTAAATGGAGATTTAGGGGCCTCATCCAAGCAGGTGCTGAGCCCTCTGAATTCCCATATGGATAAAACAATCGATCTCACATAACCTTTTTAAAGCTGTGCTCATTACTTGGAATTGTGCTCAGAATGAAAACAGAGATTGAATTGTCTATCTGCTTAAGTAGCGACAGTCCCTTCAGGCCACAGATGAGGCGTGCTGGGAAGCTAATTTTCCTGACTCTCTTCTGTATCTATTCTGTGTACAGAAAGAGGGCTTCAAACTCTAGGGCTGTCAACAAGGCACCTTTGAGAAATATTAAGTTCACATTAAAAAAAACCCCAAATTATATTTGTACAGTTACAACAATGAGATTAAAAAAAAAAAAAGGTTGCATTCCTATAATTCAGTTTTACTGATATTGATCTGCTTGCAAAATAGGTATGTGAAATGGGTATGTTTTACTAAGCTGTATCTGTTTCTTTCACAGAACCAAATTGAAGAACCATGAATATGAAACTCTAGACCAACTGGAGAGTGACCTAAACTTAATGTTCGAAAATGCTAAACGCTACAATGTCCCCAATTCAGCCATTTATAAGAGAGTTCTGAAAATGCAGCAGGTTATGCAGGTATATGGAGAAGAACTAAGCAGTCAAAATAGCTATATATATTAATAGTTTTTGTCACTTTAGGTGGAAGTATTTAGAGTCTTTAAATCTGTATTGACATATGCTCTCTGGGGTCAACTGTAATTTCCATGGTTTAAATATTTATTTTAAACTTATTTTGGTATGCAGCTCTCTATAATGTGCTGAACAGAGAAAGGATCTACTTACAATTTTTTCCCCTAAACTACTTCTGTTCACAGTGGTATTGCTTAGGCTACGTACACACAATCAAATGAACTAGGACAGGGGTTCTCAAAGTTTTTATACTGCAGCCTGGCAAACCATAGCCCAGCAGTCACAGCCGACCGCAGCCAGAATTTCTGGCCCACAGACAGGTAAAGATACCCCCCACCCCTCAAGAGCGGGGGTGGGCCAAACCTTGCGCCGCTGTGGGCCCTGCACAAGGAAACATAGCCTCTCTGCCCAGCTCTGGGGGAGCCATGGTTTGCCCATCTGCAGCCACTTCCAATCTAATAGCAGCCAACTGTACTGTGGACTGGCAGCCAACCCAGCACCAGGCTGTGGCCCAAGGGTTGAGAACCCTTGATCTAGGAGAATTCTTCCAGGTTTGTTTTCCTAGTAGAAAAACATACTTGGAGATGCCTGAAGAGACATTCAAATACTGAGCACCTGATTAGCAGAGAGCTTGCAGGGCTGATGCTGCAGAGCCACAGGGCCTCTGTGTACACATCTTGCCATGCTCTGAAGGCTACCTCAGTCTGCCTGGAGACAGTATGGCAGCAGTGCACAGGACAGCACTGATTGGCCGACGCAGTTTGCTCAGGGTCAGCCTGTCTCTCCCTGCTGCACGAAGTGGGGATTGTGAAAGAGGTTTGTTCTGCTCCCTGCTTGGCTGGAATAGTAGAGTCCAGCAAGTGACCTATTGTTTCCCTGGGGGGGGGTATGGCAAAGCCCCCTAGGATGCTGGTGGACTGTGCTGTGATTCCTCTCAGAAAAGGAAGTGAACAAACATTTACGCTCCCAGGAGAAATTCTCTTGGGAGTGATGTAATCCTGGTTGTTCTTGAGTTATTTTTCTTCCAGGGCAGCTATTTTTGCTCTGGCAGAGAAATCCTAAGCATCTGTGTACTTCTGGTTTCTCCTGGGAGAGCAGCAGCTCTCTCAGGAGAAACTAAATGTCTGTACTTGGCTGTAATAAGACTAAGATCAAGTTGTGAAAAGGGAAAATGAAAAGATCCCGTAGGTTTATAGGTAAAATGACCATAATTGGAGGATGTTAAGCTATTTTCTATACTGTGATTTTAATACGCAAGAGAACAATTTAGATGCATTGAAGCACTATAATAATTTTTATAAAAACTGATACAAACATTTGTCTTAAGCATGTAACATATATTGCATTATTCGCTGAAAATCTTTTAATGGTAGCTTTATATTTATGCATTCTGCAACTTATATCTTTCCAAGTAAATCTGATTTTGTGTAGCTTTTTAACATTCATTTATTCTTGGGGTGTTCTGCAATGAGTTTCACTCTAGGGATTGGCTCTTTCAGGCAAAGAAGAAGGAGCTAGCTAGGAGAGATGACATTGAGGATGGAGATAGTATGATCTCTTCTGCTACATCTGATACTGGAAGTTCAAAAAGAAAAAGGTAAGCACTTTTACTCTAAAGATTTATTGCTTCTTTCATTTGTAATACAGAACATATATTTTAAGGTTTTACATGGGATGTCTTTAATTGAAATGTGTTAATCTAATCTACTGTCTCATAATTAATTGTAAATTGATTATTAGATCTATGTTGTCATTGTTTTTTGCTTACAGTGTATAGTTGACAAAGATTTTTCATATGCAAGTCCAGTTTCCTAAAGAATATAGGCACTGAAATATTATGTAATTATATAAAACTGCATCTATGTATGTCACTTATGTTTAAGACCTCAGTCTACGAAGATGTTCAAATTGTTTTAATAAAAGTCGAGTCTGTCTTTACAAGTTGTTATCCGTAACTGACAAGTAGATTTGCTTCTCTTTTCTAGCTAGCATTACCTCTTGATTTTCCCTTTTTACGTATTATTAGTCATTTGCCAAATGTAAAATTTAACAAAATATAGTTTTACATTTTGTAATTACTCTTTTCACCGATTTGTTTTGAAATTTTTGCTTAAGCTCGTGGGATCTTTATTTTCTGACTTCAGCACACCAAGAGCAGCCTCACCATTATGATCACGGGCTGCTGACAGACATTTGGGGTGGGGGGGAGATGGACAAACAACAAACAGCACTTCTACCGGAAGAGGAACTTGCTCAGTGTCTATATAGATTGTGCACTTCAGTGGGGCTTTTTTGTGCTTCTATCTAATAGTTGATTCAATCAGTGATTGAATTCAATCGGTGATTGAATCAGCCATTAGATAGAAGTGCCAAAAAACCCTGGTGAAGTGCATGATCTATACAGACACTGGGGAGCTGGATCAGACTGAAACGGTTCCTCTAATGGGCATGAACTGCACTTAGTGCGGGGTGCACTAAGCTGAAAGTAACGTGCCATTTGTTGTTCTTTTTAATCCACCAATCTAAGTGGATTTTAGCCATGTAAAAGAAAATGTATTGTGATCTTAGTAAAATAAAATTAAGTAAGTTTATTAGAACAAGTTGTTTGTTAGAACAAAATTGTTTGTTCCTACATTAGGGAAATATCTGTAAAAAATAATTTTGTCTTGTAGTACAGTAGATTTCTGTTGTCTCCATAGCTATTTTTTCCCCAACAAAATTATACAAATAAACAGAAAATGCTAAGAATCTGGACAGGAAAAATATAAATTCAATTTAAAATAAAGACCGGAAATGGATAGCATAACTCCTGATCATATTGTGACGTTACACTGGAAGTCGCTCCTTGACTTTTCTTCTGTTTATTGTCAACTCTTATTTAATTGCCAGCAAATTTTTAAAAGATTGTGGCAGTTGCTATTCTGTTGCAACCTATGACTCATTGCAACTTACGACTCATTGCTACTATGCAGCAGGGTCAGAAATGACCCATGCGCTGCTGGGTCTGCAGTAACAGCAGTTACCATGCAGTCATTTAGTACTGAAGTGCTAAAGCAAATACTGAATAACTTCTTAGTAACATCTGTGCAGTTCATTTAACGAAAGAAAGCTATCAGTGTTTCTTCTCTGATAAAGTAAAAGAAAAGCTTTTGAAAACCCAACTGGTGGAAACAGAGCCCCAAGGAATTCAAACTATAACATACAAAAGGAGCAATCTGGCCAGTGGGTTAAAGTTCCTTCCTGACCCAAATATGGCAGTCAGCCTAATGTGAAGAGGAGGGGGAAAACCCTGTAGTTAGGAACCTCCCTCTTTGGTCCCAGCAGGAGCATTGGCGCATTCCAATCAAAATCCCCAGCCTTGGCTGTAGCCAACATCCAGTACCTCTGAGGGAGGTGTAAAAACACCTGGATGCACGTAACAGAAAGCAGGGACAGGGACAACTAGCAAAGCTCAGAAGCATGGAAAATACCCATAGTAGAACATAGGCACAGCTGTGCCTGCATCATCCCCATCCAGTGGCTGTACAAACTTATTTTGAACACCTTGAGTGACAGATAGTCCATGACTTCCCTAGGCAGTCTATTCCACTGCCTCCATGTTCTAACAGTGAAGAAGTTTTTCCTGATATCTAATTTAAACTTACTTTGCTGCAACTTTTAAGCCCGTGTCCTCCTCTCTGCAGTAAGAGAGAAACAGTGCTTTCTTTCTTCTTTATGGCAGCCCCTCGGGTATTGAGGACTGCTGTCATGTCCTTCTTAAGCATCATTTCTGCAAGCTGACCATGCCTAGCTCCTTCAGCTTCTCTTTGTATGACTTGCTTTCCAAGCCCTTCATCACTTTTGTTGCCCATCTCTGGGTGGACTCTCTCTAACTTCTCCACATCCTTTTTAAAACGTGGAGCCCAGAACTGCATACAATACTCCAGATAAAGGCCTAAACAGTGCCAAGTAGAGAGGCACTGTCATAGAGCTGAGCAGTTATTTTGGCTGGAGGACCACTTAATGACTTTTGGTGAGCAGTTGAGGGCTGCAAGGGTAGCCCTGCCCCTTGCCAGGTGCCCTGTGTCCTGATTGCCATCTTGAGACCAGAAGTTCCACCCCCTAACCTTTGCCACTGGAAGTCCCTCCCCTTGCCCCCAGAAGTACTCCTTTTGGCAGAGGGGGTTGCTATCTTGAACCCAGAAAAAAAAACTCCTATACTAAAAATCAAATATCTACTACACATGTTTTAATTTTATTTCAAAAGATATTTTTGTCCTGATTTGCATGCGTTTGTGTAGTGGTATATGGAGGTAATTGCATAATAACTCAAAATAAAGTATTTCTGTTGTGTATTGTGTGTGGGGTGTGGTTGGGGGGTGGGTGTGGGAGGGTTTGTGAAAGTATACATGTGTGGGGGGGGTTGTGAAGGGGTGTTGATGTGTGTGGGAGGTTTGTGGGTAGGTGCAGGGGGTGAGGGTTTGTGAAGGGGTGTGGGTGTGGGTTGGGGTATGGATGTGTCTGTGGGGCGGGGGTTGTGAGTGAGTATGGGGCCTTCCACTACACGCCAGACCCCCACACAGCTCCTGCCGCTGGTGACAGCAGCAACATCACCAGCGGCAGGCAGTGGTCCCTCAGGGTGCTCATGGCTAGGGCAGGCAGAGCCCCCTGGTGCTTCACAGTTCTGGCTGGGTCCCAGGGCAAAGTGTGGTGGCATGCACCTTCAGCCCAGACCAGGCTTTCTCCATGCCAGAACATGGGTCTCGCAGCACTGCAGGCAGAAGCCACGTGCCATCGGGCTGGGCTAGGCCAGCTCTGTATCTCCATATGGGGCTTCCAGCACTCCAGTGGGGTTGGTGAGCAACATAGAGAGGCACAGAGGCCCCCTGGCTTGATGGTGCCTGACTCTGCAGTTCCAAGTCCATGCACTATCAGGCCAGGTGGGCTCCGTGCCTCCACATGTGGCTGCCTGACCCTGCTGGAGTGCCTGAAGCCCCACATGGACACATGGAGTCAGACCTCCCTGGCCTGGCTGTATGGTACGTGGCTCCCACCTGCAGTACCACAAGCCCCATGTGCTGGCACAGAGCCAGCCCAGTCTGGCCCAAAGGCACACACCAGCTCCACGCCAGCACATGCAGCCCCTGGGACTTAGCCAGAGCCGAGCACTGGCAATGGGGGCTGTACACAATGGGGCGGGGTACATGTGGCAGAGGAGCCCACACACACCCACAAGCCCCATGCCCAGCCCCACTCCTGCAGGCAGGCGCTCCCCTCCCCTCCCCACTCCCAGCATTCCCTTCATTCACCCAAGTATTTACTTTGACAAAGGAGGATATGAAGTTTGTTTGACACAATTTGTTTCCATATATCTGTGCTTGTGATTGGCCTCTCTTCCTCTAGATGCTTGCAAATGGCTTTCTTTATGCTATGCTCCAGTAATTTCCCAGGTATTGAGGTGAGGCAACCAGTCTGTAGTTCCCTGGGTCTTCCTTTTTGTCTTTTTTAAAGAGAAGCACTACATTGACTCTTTCTCAATCCTTTGTTACCTGGCCTGTCTCCCACAATTTCATTAATATAATTGACAAGGGCTCTGAGACCTCCTTTGCCAGTTCCTTCAGTACCCTGAGATAAAGTTCATCTGGCCGTGCTGACTTAATTCAGACCCATCAAAAGCTCTCTAACCATCTCTTGTTATCTCCTCCCTCAGCTTGCCTGCTTCCTTTTCCAGATTATCCTTATTAGGCATCTGGCTGCATTTTAAGTTTTTGTGAAGGATGAGACAAAGTAGCTGTTGAGTAGCCCTGCTGCCTTTGCATCTTCTGTTAGGAGTCCTCCGGCTTGTCAGCAGTAGACCCACAGCTTCCTTGGTCCTTCTTTTCTTGCCAACATGCTTACAGAACCTCTTCTTGTTGTCCTTTAACCTCTTTTGCCATGTGCAGCTCACTCTTTAACTTTGCCTTCCTGATTTTTTGTCCCTGTAGGTTCTTGTTATTTCCTGATGTGTTTCTTTGGTGACCTGCCCATTCTTCCATTGCCTGTATGGTTTCCTTTTGCATTTAAGGCATTTTAAAAGCCCCTTGTGCAGCCACATTGGTCTCTTGCCATTCTTCTTGTGCTTCCATCATGTCAAGATATTTTCTTGTTGGGCTTCCAATACTGTGCCCCTTAAAAGCTCCCAACCTTCCTGGGTACCTTTATCCTTCAGTCTGTCTTCCCATGGCATCATGCACATTAACTCCTTTAGTCAGATAAAATCCACCTTTTTGAAATCTAGCATCCTAATTGGCTGATTTCATGCTTTCCCTGTCTCAGGGTCTGGAATTCTATCATTGTGATTGCTTCCTCGCAAGTTAGCCATCACCTTCACAACCTCCACCAGTTCTTCCCTGTTGGTCAGGACAAGATCCAAGATAGATGACCTCCTAGTTTTATCCTCCACCTTCTAGAACAGGAAGTTGTCCTCCACACAAGTTAGGAACCAGTTTGACATTTTATTTGGTTGCATTTGAGTGCCTAACTTGAGATACTCGGGTATATTTTTTTCAGGGTAGAAGCCACCCATGGGTGCCTTTGACTGCAATATTTCAGAAAGCCAAGCTCTAAATTTATAAAGCTGGGCACCCAAAAAGCTTAGGAAGACAGAAATAGAGGTGTTTTTCAGAAATGTAGGTCTTACACAGAAAACTTAATGTATTTAGATACAAAGAGTGAAGATGATCATAGTAATTTGTTCTTATTCTGGGAAATGTTTACACTGAAAATGGAGAAAAGAAAGAAAAGAGAGGCAAAATCTAGTATTTTAAGATTAACTACCTAGTTCACTTAACAGTTCACTCACCCAGGAACCCAAACTTTGGTCCCACCATCATCATTCTGTAAACTTTTAAAATGGGCACCTAAATATATATCTAGAATAGAATGATCTTCATGCAGACATGTATGTGCTTTTTTAATTGCAGTTTTTCTATTGTACAGTTGAATAAATATTTTTTTGTGTAGCTGTTGATATTCAGAAAAAAAATTGTAACAATTTTTCTCCCCTTAACCAACAGTAAAAAAAATATAAGGAAACAGAGAATGAAAATTTTGTACAATGCAGTCCTTGAAGCTCGAGAGCCAAGCACAGGCAGAAGACTCTGTGATCTATTTATGGTTAAACCCTCCAAAAAGGACTATCCAGATTATTATAAAATCATTTTGGAGCCAATGGATTTAAAAATGATTGAGCATAATATCCGCAATGATAAATACTCAGGGGAGGAAGCTATGATTGAAGATATGAAACTAATGTTCCGAAATGCAAGGCACTATAATGAGGAAGGCTCACAGGTACTGTTTAAATTATGCAGGTATAATTACCTTTCTGCTTGCTTGCAACAAGAAAAAACAATTTAAATGTTGTTATAGTCAGTCTGTGGTTACTCCTTCCAGTTGTTATGCTAATAGTTTACTGAATAAATATTAAAACTTCATTGGAGTATTTTTTTCTTAAAATATGAACACTTTATTTACCTGAATCCAAGATGACCCTGAATTTAAGACAACCACCCCAATAATTAGATTCTGTACATGGAAAATGTATACATTTGTGATAATTTTCCATGTATATCATCTGATTATTGGGGGGGCATCTTAAATTAGGGTCCCACACCATTGAATACGGACAAGCAGTGGCAGGGGGGGGGGGGGGGGGGGGGCAGGGGGTAGGGAAGTCAAGTAGCCTGACCCCTGCTCCTTGCCCTCCCTCCCCCCACTCACTCCCCACACATTGCATCCTGATGCATGTACCCACTCCCTCTCATGCCTGCATCCTCTGGCACTTGCCTCCCACCCCATGTCTGTACCATTGTGCCTGCCCTCTCCCCCCAGTTCTGTTCCCATAGCTTCTGGTTTCCAGCCTGGCCCCACTACTGCCACCTACCCTCTGGCCCCACTTCAGCCTGAGGTATGGAGCACATGACTGCTTCAGCTCCAGCCCACCCATGCAGCAGTGCCTCAGGGCCAGGGCTGGGGCCAGAGCTGCAGCTACTGTTGACACAGTTGCTGCTGTGTGGCCAGGCTGGGTGTAGCCAGAGTGACCATGTGCTCCATACCCTGCAGTGGAGCAGATCCAGGGCTGGACCTGGCCCATAAGCAGTTGGAGGGGGGTGGGAGGAGGAGCCAGTAGTAGCTGCAGCTCTAACTCCAACCCCAACCCTGGATCAGAGTCAGAGCTGAAGCACCCTGCTTGTGCCTGAATCCAAGACTAGGGGCTTTTTGTTCCCTTGTTAAATGAGGAACAAAATCTCATCTTGGATTTGAGTAAATATGGGATTTTTTCATAGGGATATATATATATTCTTGTTCAACTGGGGTCCCTGGTTATATATATATATATATATATATGCTCCTTTTAAAAATACATAATTTAGCTATGGTGAATAAAGCTGGAGTAGAGCTGCTATCTGTATTTTCCTAGTGCTTAATGAAAAAGAGTTATGTAGTTAAATTTCCATCATTTAGCTTCCTAAATGAGACCCCTATGGTGAGGGATGGAGTGGGGCAGGTTCAGGCATTGCCCAACCAGGGTGGGGCGGGGCACAAAGGAGCTGGCGGCTTATCTGGCGGGGCACTTGGGTTGGCTCCCACCACTCCACACACCCCAACCATAGGAGGCATAGAGGGTATGTGCCCTGCCCCAACCAGATCTGGGCATGGGGCAAGGGTAGGCTGCCACTGTGCACTCAGGGCCAGGGGACTGCACTGCACTCTGGCCAGGCAGCAGTGCTGGGAGTTGGAGAACTATAGTGGGGTCTAGTCACCCCAAAATTAGCCGTAGCCCTGCCCCCTCCTCCCCCCAGCTCCACTGCCACCCACCCAGCCTGAGCATAGCTGCTGGAAAGAGGCTGGAGCAGCCCTGGCCCTGAGCACGCAGCAGGCAGTCCACCCTCACCCCGTGCACATATCTGGGGGTGGGTGTGTGTCCCTTATGCCTCCTTCAGGGGTATGTGCAGCAGCAGGAGCTGCCCTTCATGCTGCTGTGCTGCATATTGGCAGTCAGATTACCGACAGCCTATTATTGACCATCCATATCGGCAGATACCATCAACCCAAAAAATCTTTATCGATGCACCCCTATTTGTGATGCTATGGGATTGGATTCAGAAGCTGAGAGGTCCCCATGCAATTCTGTGTTCTTGTCTGATAGATGGGGAAATTATCTTAATTCATATCAACTTATTTTCGGTGCCATTTTATATAGCCTTTTCAGAAAGGAGATGTGATTGAATTGCATTGTATTTACTCACGGTTTCTAGGTCCTTGATTAAATTGAATAATACTTAACTATGATTAAAAATATAATTTTGTTATGTGAAAGAGTAGGAAACATCTGTTAAACAGTAATTATTATGGATAATTTGGAAGTAAGTAATCCAGTAATAAAAAATAAATGGCTCTTATTGTTATGTACCAAATCTTGAAATCTATATTTGGTCATTAGTCAGGTAAAAATGAGTCAGCAATAAAGACTTTGGTATTTTATATTGTGTGAGTTAATGCAGCTGTTAGTATTGGTATATACAAATACATTATGATCACAGAATCTTGTAAAAACTCTTTTAAAGATGGCTGTATGGTCAAGGGGCTTGTGTGAAGGGGTGGGGATTAGAAGGTTGGGAGTTCAAGCCTGGGTGTGTGTCCCTGAGCTTCCTAGCTGGCTTCATGGCTTTGAGACATTTGTTTTAGGACTGTAGTAATGGGTGGCATCTTGGGCAGCAGTGACCACAAGATGATGGAGTTCAGAATCCTGAGGAAAGGAAGGAAAACAGCAGTGTGCGGACCCTGGACTTCAGAAAAGCAGACTTTGACTCGCTCAGGGAACTCCTGAGCAGGATCCCTTGGGAGGCCAATCTGAGGTGGGGAGGAGTCCAGGAGAGCTGGCTGTACTTTCAAGAAACCTTACTGAGAGTGCAGAAACAAACCATCCTGGTGTGCAGGAAGACTAGCAAGTATGGCAGAAGACCAGTTTGGTGTAGCATGGAACTGGTCAGTAAGCTAAATCACAAAAAGGAAGCTTATAAGAAGTGGAAACTTGGACAAACAACTAGGGAGGAGTATAAGAATATTGCTTGGGCATGCAGGGATGAAGTTAGGAAGGCCAAAGTGCAATTGGGGTTGCAGCTGGCAAGGAATATGAAGGGTAACAAGAAGAGTTTTGACAAGTATGTCAGCAACAAGAGAAGGATCAGGGAAAGCGTGGGTCTCTTACTGAATGGGGGAGGGAACCTAGTGACAGAGGATGCAGAAAAGGCTGAAGTACTCAATGCCTTTTTCACCTCAGTCTTCACAAGCAAGGTCAGTTACCTGACTATTGCATCTGACGGTACAGTTTGGGGAGAAGGTGAGTAGCCATCTGTGACTGAAGAACAGGTTAGGGACAATTTAGAAAAGCTGGATGTACAAAAGTCCACGGGGCTGGATAGGATACACCTGAGGGTGCTGAGGGAGTTGGCTGATGTGATTGCAGAGCCACTGGTCATCATCTTTGAAAACTCATGGCGATCAGGAGAGGTTCTGGACCATTGGAAAAGGGCAAATATAGTGCCCATATTTAAGAAAGGGAAAAAGGAGGATCCAGGGAACTACAGACCAGTCAGCCTCACCTCAGTCCCTAGAAAAATCATGGAGCAGGTCCTCAAGGAATCCATTCCTAAGCACTTGTAGGAGAAGAAAGTGATTAGGGACAGTCAGCATGGATTTACCAATGGCAAGTCGTGCCTGACCAGTTTGATTGCCTTCTATGATGAGATGACTGGCTCTACGAAAGTGGGGAGACCATTGGATATGATATATCTTGATTTTAGCAAGGCTTTTGATATTGTCTCCCACAACATTCTTCCAGGCAAGCTAAGGAAGTGTGGGTTGGATGAATGGATTGTAAGGTGGATAGAAAACTGGATGGATCATTGGACTTAAAGGGTAGTAGTCAATGGCTTGATGCCTAGTTGGCAGTTAGTATCAAATGGAGTGCCCCAGGGGCCCGTCCTGGGGCTGGTTTTATTCAGTATCTTCATCATTGATCTGGAAGATGGGATGTAGTGTACCTTCATTAAGTTTACAGATGACACCAAGCTGAGTAGAGTAGTAGGTATGCTGCAGGGTAGGGTTAGGATTCAAAGTGACCTAGACAAATTGGAGGATTGGACCAAAAGAAGTCTCATGAGGTTCAAAAGGGCAAGTGCAAAATCCTGCACTTGGGACAGAACAATCTGCACTAGTAGAGGCTAGGGGCTGACTGGCTGGGCAGCAGCTCTGCTGAAAAGGACCTGGGGGTTGCAATAAGCTGAATGTGAGCCAACAGTGTACCCTTTTTGCCAAGAAGTCTAATGGCATACTGGGCTACATTGGTAGGAGTGTTGTCCGCAGATCAAGGGAAGTGATTATTCCACTCTATTCAGCCCTGGTGAGGCCACATCTAGGTACTATGTCCAGTTTTCGGTCCCCTACTACAGAAGAGATGTGGACAAATTGGAGAAAGTTCAGCGAGAGCAACTAAAATGGATAGGGCTAGGGCACATGATTTATGAGGCGAGACCGAGGGAACTCAGCTTATTTAGTTTGCAGAAGAGAAGACTGAGAGGGGGTTAAATAGCAGTCTTCAACTACCTGAAGAGTGGTTCAAAAGAGGATGGAGCTAGACTGTTCCCAGTGGTGGCAGATAACAGAACAAGGAGCAATGGTCTCAAGTTGCGGTAAGGGAAGTTTAGGTTAGATATTTGTAAAAAAATTTCTCACTAAACGGCTAGTAAAACACTGGAACAGGTTACCCATAGAGGTTGTGGACTCTCCATCCTTGGGGGTTTTTAAGACCCAGCTAGACAGAGCCTTGAGTGGAATGATCTAGTTGAGGATGGTTCCGCTTTGAGCAGGGGGTTGGACTAGATGATTTCTTGGGGTCTCTTCCAGCCCTAATTTTTCTATGATTCTATGGCAGCCAGAGCATGCAAAACGTTGAGTTTAGCTAACTGAAAAATCATAGATTCCTATTTCACTATTGGCCATGATTACAGAGAGCAGTAAGAGGTTAGATACTCTGGTTTTGTTTATAGAAAAAAAGGATTTTGATGCCTTAAAGTAAAATGCCGCTCTGCTGTACTGCATGAGGGCATATAGAATGTGTGGTGTTTTTAATAATAGGAAAATGTAGTTGTTAAAGTGCTCAGTAGTGCAAAACATACTCTGACTTATAAAAAAAAAAATATTTTCTACATGGCAACATAAAGTTACTAATATAGCCTGTGAAGCAGAACAGTATAAACCAATTTAGGAAGAATATTGTTCTTAATCAGATATTTCAATAATCTGATTATGGCAAGCAGTGAGCCATGTAGCTACAATTGCATATAATTTAATTCTACTTTGATAGAGGCATGAAATCCAATAACTGCAAACTGCAATCTGAATTTCTTTATTTACTTTTCCTGCAAATGCATTTATGAAATTCATTACAGCAACTCTTAATTGTTGACAAGCATGGTATTTTTTTCTAAGGTAGCATAGCAGGACTTTGATTGTAACATACTAATTGGCATCAGGTCACTATCTAGGACATGCAGACTTTTGGGTAAAGGTTTGATATATGGGCTCTTTTAAAATAGAATATGTCTGCGTGTGAACTGCTGAAGGCCTTATTGACATAATCAGACAAGGTTCTTTGGGTGACTCTGATATCTTTTATTAGACCAACTTAAATAGTTGGAAAACAATTTTTAAGCAAGCTTTTGGGTTCAAAAACCCTTCATCAGGCTGGGGAAGTTTCAGCAGTTGGTGTGTTCTCTTCCTGGATGGAATGAAAAGTAAAGAAGCCAGAGGCTAGGCTGGTATGCATACAAGATAGGCAGTCAGTGAAGATGTAGATTGAGGAGTCAATGGGTGAGAGACAGGCTGGGTGTGGGAGAGAGAGAAGGACATAATTGTACTCAATTGACATAACAGTACCCAATTCCAGGTATTCAGTTGTTGTTACGTAAGTTGTGTTTAATATGCTGTATGCTGCACAAACGCATAAAAGTGAACAGCTCTTTCACTTACTTTCCCTTAAGAAGTTTATAGTCAGAAAGGACAAAGACAGAAAAGTTCAGATACCTAGAATTTTGGGTAGTAATATGTGTTTGTGGTTCACAGAGTTTGGATTTTCTTTTTTTATTATAAAAGTGTGTGATTTGAGGAATGTTTTGAAAGGGACAGGATACTTCCATGCATAACTGGCAGCATAAGAGAAGATATAAGGATGAATAGGAGAGACTAAATGGAAAAAGCAAAGGGAGAAAGCTGGGGGAAGGAGAGTGTAAGGTAGGGGGGAAAAACGGCACCAAGGAGGTAACTGTGGCAGAGCACCTTTGGTGTCCACCACTTTAAGGCTGAGAGTAGGCAGCTGGCAGGTGCAGGCCAGCCCTGATGAGGCGGCCTTTTTAAATCTAGGCCCACAGGGCTGAGCCTGCAGTCTGTTGCTGACAGCCGGAGCAATAACACCCAGGTGAGTTGCTGCTCACAACACCTTGGAGGCTGCAAGCAGGCAAGAAGGAGGCTGGAACTAAGGTCCAGTGGAGAGAGCAGCCCAGGAATAACATGTAGCCCCACAGGGATAAGACCAAGGCAGGTAGGCCTGCATTGGTCCTGGGCATGACCAGAAACTGTACCCTGCCTGGGAAGGGTGGTCTGGTGGGGCTATCTGTGGCAGGACAGCCCCTCAGAAATGCCAAGCCAGTTACCTCCCTGGTGAAAGGTGAGGAGGGGTGCCTCAAAACCCTAGCCTCCAAATCCTGGTGGGTTACCCAGCCCCAGGGAGAGGTATGGGGGCTAGGCATGTCTCTGGACAGCTGAGCCCTATGGGGTGCAAGACCCCAGAGGCCCCAGCAAGCAGGGCGTGTGTGGAAGACCCTAGTGAGAGGGTAGTTAGGCCAAGGTAAGTCTATGGATGCCTGAGGCTGCAGTTGAGCCAGAGGCTCAGTAAGTTCTCAGACATGGTAAAGCTGAGTTTGGGTCAAAAGGTTAGGAACTTGTTTAGAAGGCCCTGGTGACAGAGCACAAAAGGAAGGCCCTAGCCAGAGGGCATAAGTTGAAGCCCCAAGGAGGGAGCAGTTAGGCTAAGGTCAGTCTGTGGACTCCTGAGGCTGCAGTGGGGCCAGAGGCCAAGACCCTGGTAAGTCCTCATACATGTTGAGACCGAGTGTTGGGTCAGAGGGAAACTCCGGTAAGCCCTCAGACTTGGGGAGGCAGAGTTTGGGTCCAAAGGGCGAGTAGCTGGCCCTAAGGAGGGAACAAGAGTGATGAGTTACCCAGAGAGGGGCCTGGGTCAGAGCTCCGCCCAGGGCGAGGCAAATTGGCTGGCCACTGTTCAGATGAGGGTCACAGAAGAGGCCCAAAAGGCTGCGCCAGGGCCAGTCAAGGAGTTCATGTAGGTTAGCCTGGTGGTCTACGTGGTCGCTCAATGGGAGCAGGGCAGGTTGAGTGTGGCCTGGAGAGGGACAGAATGTAAGAGGCCTGGTGAGAGAGGGTGGAGTGCAAGAGGCCCCAGTGAGAGGGAGGTGGTATAAATGAGGCCCGATACGGCAGAGTGAATGGACAAATGTCTGAGGCCTAGTAAGGGGCTGAGTTTGACCCAGCCATGAGCTGGAGCATAGGATGCCATCTGCAAGGCATGGCACATAAAGGGACGTCGGAGTTGTGTATAGCACCCTCTGGCATTGGGGCATTAAAACAGGCAGCCTCCCTCATTTTTACACCAATTTTGGGAACAGTAAATTGTGGCAGGTGAGACTGGGTGGACTTCCGTACTTAGACGGGTGGGCAGGCCGACGCGAGTCCCGGCCCTAACATGGCCCCTGTCACAGTAACAATAGGGAACTTGAACATTTTTGAGAAATAAGCAAAATGAATAACAGAAGAAATTAACAGGAGTTCTGGGAGTAAAATATTAGCAGCAACATTCAACTGATTTTCATCTTCCCCTTATCCCCCCTTCCAAGAGTAAGGCATGAATTGGAAAGTTAAAAAAAAGGAGATTGCATCATTCAGGTGAAGGCCTACCAAGATATATGGGGAAGAGCTGTATTTGAAGGGGTGGACAGTACTGATTTTTTTTTTCTCAGATGGAGAAGAATGGTAGGATTTAAGTAAAATTAAGACATGCGTGAGGTAGGGAGCAAGAGAAGAGCAGAATCTGATATGAAACCAAGTTAATAAGTTTGACAACAGGGAAAAGAAAACTATCGATGGTGACTAGGGTGTGTGTGTTTTGGAAGAAAAGATCAAATTAATCTCTTGGGCTGAGATTTTAGGCACTCAGTTCCCACTGATTTTTTTTTTTTTTTTTTTTTTTAGTGGATTATGGGCATGTAACTGCCTTGGTTCTCCTGTGAAAATCCTAATTTTGGAAGTTGAATTGGTGATAGTGTGTTCAAGAGGAGATGGCTGAAAGGTGATGTTCTGAATAGGGGAAAATAGTCTGGAGAAAAGATTGGGGTAGGGAAAAATTAATAGATTAGGAGATTGGTTTTATCTACCACACCTAGGCTGACAAAGGGAAGGAAGTTACCCAAGGATAAATCTTAGAGGATAATTGGGGGAGGAGGGGTGAGGATGGGGCAAAATTAGTTTTTGTGTAGGTGTTTGAAATAGAAGATGGATTGTAAAGGTTTTAGAGAGAGTTGTTGAATAGGAAACTAAACCAGTGGGAGCAGACTGCATTTCCTAGCAGTTCTTTCTGGGAGAAAAAGAAAGAGAAGAGGTGGCAGTTTGTAATCTAGTTTGGGAACCAATAAAGCAGATTTTTTTCTTTTCTTTTTTCCATTTTTTAAAAAAGGTCAGCAGATTAAACCTTAGGTTACAAAAATTGCTTTTCATCCTACCTGGATTTGCAGCCACATTTAGGGTGAAATTGACATCTGTTTTGTTAATGTAATGCCACATTGCATAACTACTTAAGACTGGAAGAGAATTTTACACAACTGAAACTAACAAGATAACTACGGCCGTGTCCAGATGAGCAGGATATCCAGGGGTCCAAAAAACCTGCGGGGGGGAAATAAAAGCAAAGTAGTGCACTCACAGGCACTACGTGCCACTCAAAAGCAGAGCCGAGCCACTCCACAGGGCAGAATTGCTGCTGCTGCTGCAGGCCCGGGAAGCCCCCAGGACCCTAGGTAAGGCTGCAGCCTCCCCTACTGCTTCCAGGGTAACTTGCCATGTGTCAAAGCATGCATGGCACAGGTGTTCCCCAGAGACAAGTAGTGGCAGCACAAGGTGCGCTTCGGTTACTTGTCCCCAGGGAACCAAACGTCCACATCACGTGTGGATGCAGCCTATAGGTGCATTTACACTCGCAATTAATGTTACATGTTAAACTCCCAGTCATGCACACGGAACAGCAGCACTTTGAGGTGGAGCAGCCATGGGCTGGCAGCAGGCTCAGGGACTCAGTCTCAAGCTTCAGGTGGCAGTGTCAGGCAGAAAAGGGGCTGGCTGGAGCACAAGGGTGCTGAAACTATGGAGCCATGTGGCTGACCCCCTGGGGCTGCTCTGCCCTGGCTCAGAGCACTGCTGCATCCACATCTGCACTGTAGTGCAGTAAATGACTCTGCCATAAGATAATACTGTTCCCGACAGTACTACCTTATGGTGGAGTTAATTAATTTACTGTACCTTAATACCAGCACTCATGTAGACGGTGACGCTTTACTGCGGAGCTAATTAGCTCCACAGTAACTCACACATGTAGATGTACCCTATGTTATTGTGTGACGTACATACATACATACTATACCAGAGAACTGTGGGTTATTCTAAATACTGCTTGTTTTGTTCCAACATTTTATTGCTTTGTAGGTATACAATGATGCTCATATGCTGGAGAAGATCCTTAAAGAAAAAAAGAAGGAACTTGGACCTCTGCCAGAAGATGATGATATCACTTCCCCTAAATTAAAGCTAAGTAAGGCAATTTTGAAATGGAAAGTGAAAATTACAACAGTTGCTTTTGTTTTGTTTTTTTTTTAAATCAAATGGTGTGGTTTAAGGGTGTCAAACTCTGCTTTGGCTGGATCCATGGGGCCAGTGGTAGCTGTGACAGATCTGTTGGTGGCAGGGCAGGTCTGGGGTCAGGAGGCAGGGAGGGTCTGAGGTCAGGCAGCAGCAGTAGACAGGAGCCAGTGGTAGGGGTCAGGTAATGGTGGAGTGAGCAAGGGCTGTATTTGCACAACATTTGCTTGCCTCCTGCTATCAACAGTCATTTCCATTGGGCACAGGGACCCCGAATTCTGTGGCAGGCCTCAACCCACTAACCCTAGCCCTCAGGTTCTGGTAGTCATCTGGGCTACTGGTGGGCCAGAAGAGATGGTTCCACACAGTATCCTGGTTTTCTCTGATTTTAAATCATGGAAAAATGGATTCAGGGTTACTTTTTGTAACTGAAAATTGGGGATTTTTTTAAATCGGAGAAAACCAGGATCCCTGGTCATATGTTTGACAACCCTAGTCTAGGTCAACAAAACATTAATGTTAAAATTAACATACGCTCAAAGATGTTCCCTGTACCCTGACCTGACATATACACTGAAATGGAACCGAGTTAAAATGTTACTGTCAAAAGGGCAGTCATACTGTCCACATTCTGTCCTGTCAGCATATTCCTTTGCTTCTACAAACCTATCACATGAACACATCTTAATTTGGTAATTTACTGGTGTCTTAATTTGGGCATGCCCTGGTCTCCTAATTTAGTCCATCCACCAGAACTGGAAATCCCAAGGGCTCTACAGCTAAGAAAGTTAGATGCAATTTCATAGGCTTGTTCTGCAGTCTTGTCATTTGTCCTTATTTTTGCTTCGTTTTTCCCATCTTTATGTTGGAGCTAAAAACTTTTACACTAGTACTTTGACACTTAATGCATTTAATGCAGAAGTTTCCGAACTGTAGTCTGTGGACCATTGATGGTTGAAAGGACTGTGGTGAATGGGCTGTGGATTGCACCAGGCCTGTACACTTTTATGGTATTTTGAATTATAAGTTTGATATAAAGGTGCCTGGTGGTTTGTGAGAAACTGAAGACTGACATTGGTCTGCTGGTGCAAATAGTTTGGGAACCTTTGCATTAATGGCTGTAAAATGTTTTGTAAAATGGCTGTAAAATGTTTTGTTGTCCTGAAATAGAGTGTAGTATGTGAGGATAGTAAATTGAGTTGCTATTACCTACTTTATTAATTTGGTAGCATTTCATGGGGATTTTTTCCATCTGTAAAATCGGAATAATATAAAAGATGAGTCAGTAGAAAAAAATAATTTGCCACATATTGAGTTTAAAGTGTGTTTAAAGAACATTTTTTATAAATTGGAAAAAAAAACACGTTTCTGTCAAAAAATGTTTGCTCTGCTGTTACAAATAAACTTTCTGCAGTACCTGAAAGAGATCTTACAGAAATATTTTTCTAAGATTTTTTTTTTCAAGGTCTTTAGTTCATGCAGTTAGTATCATTTTGTATTTAAACTTGTCTGGTAATATACTGCTACCTTTAATCACATATTGAATAGATGCTGACTGTAGTATCCACGTGATGGTTAGCGAGACTACTCACAGAACAGGATATTCCTTGGCATGAGTAATGTTGGGAAGATTAGGTCCTTATTTTCCTCTGTTGTGCATTTGAGTCTTCCATAGAGCAACAAAGAGAGCATCTTAAATAGAAAATGATTCCAAATTAAAACAAAAAAGATTGGGAAATTCAGCAGAAAGTGCTTCTCTAGAATTTCCTTCCAACTCCATTTAAAAAAATTGTAGATATCAAGTTAACACAGCTCCTTCATACGTGTCCGTTAAATTCTAAACTGAGAAGGTAAAAGTTTCAGAGAACAGTTTTAAATATTATATATAATATATGGACACTTTTGAGAAGTTGATGAGATAAAAACTGCAAAATTATTAAGTAAAGTATAGATACATAAGAATCTAAGAGCAAAGACCATGTATTACAATGGAAGCTCCTATAATAACAAAAAGCTAATATAAACAGTAGTCCCATTTGTAGGCATTGCTTCACATTTTACTTATAATAATAGTGTTATGCTTAATTTAGACTAATTACTTGTGGTGGGGTAGTCTCAATATATGAAGCTCTTAATGTCAAGGATGGAAAAGATCTCCATAAAGAAGAGATTATTCTTGGCTATTGAGTTGAAGTAAGAATATCTTGCAGAGCTGGTACTTGTACCAGTGGCGTAACAGCAGATTTGGGGCCTGGGGTAGATGCAGTTACAAAAGCAGCAGGGCGCATATAGGTTCTGAGAGTCAAGGGGATGGGATGCAATTCTGAGAGCAAGGGAAGAGTGCAGAGTTCTGTGAGTGGGGGCAGAGAGGTCACAACAGTCTTACCCATGCCAAGAACTACTAAACAGTCCCCAGCTGAGGAGCTATGGCTGCTGCAGCAGTTGCTGCTGTTGCTACCACTTCGATCACCACTGTCACACACTCTGCCTGCCCCAGCTGATGCTTTTAAAGCAGCAGTAGCAACAGCTCTGGACTGTTGCATAGCTCCCAGCATGAGTATGTTGGGACACAGACCCTGTGGGTGGAGGGGGAGGGGCAATTGCAGCTCCCCTCTTAAATTGGCACCCAGGGTGAGTGCTCTTCTCACCCACACCTATTGATTTGTACAGGGCTTTGTACTGATTTGTATGCTACTGATTTGTACAGGGCTTCTTCAGGTTTCTTAGGGTACCTAAACACACACTGATAGGTTAAAATTTAATTTACGATCATAACACAGACTTCAGCAGTTTACTATCCAGCACTTGGTATGCTGTTTAAATTATCCACAGTGAAAGCAGAGAAAAACATCTGAGGAAAGAGAGAACGCTGAAAAGTTGCCTGAGCCCTGGAAAGAGATTTTAAGGAAAGTGAACAAAACTGATTTTTGGTTTTTGTGTGTTTGGAACTTTTTGTCTGTCTAGGTAGAAAAAGTGGTATTTCCCCTAAAAAATCAAAATACATGACTCCAATGCAGCAGAAACTGAATGAGGTATATGAAGCAGTGAAGAACTATACCGATAAACGAGGAAGGAGACTAAGTGCCATCTTCCTGAGGCTCCCATCTCGATCAGAACTTCCTGACTATTATGTAACCATTAAAAAGCCAGTTGACATGGAAAAGATCAGAAGCCACATGATGGCCAACAAGTATCAGGATATCGATTCCATGGTAGAAGACTTTGTAATGATGTTCAATAATGCCTGCACTTATAATGAGCCAGAATCTCTGATTTATAAAGATGCCTTGGTCCTACATAAAGTTTTACTTGAAACAAGAAGAGAGATAGAAGGAGATGAGGATTCTCATGTCCCCAATGTAACATTGCTAATCCAGGAACTTATCCATAACCTTTTTGTGTCTGTAATGAGCCATCAGGATGATGAGGGCAGGTGTTACAGTGACTCTTTAGCTGAAATTCCTGCTGTTGATCACAACTTTCCAAACAAACCACCTCTGACCTTTGACATTATCCGAAAGAACGTTGAAAATAATCGCTACAGGAGATTAGACTTGTTTCAGGAGCATATGTTTGAGGTACTGGAAAGGGCAAGGAGGATGAACCGGTAAGACATTATGTATATCAGTACCTAGTTTTGTCAATTTTGAGTTTTATCATTGACCAAAATTTCCTTTTGATTTCAGTACTTTTTTTTCTGGTAGCATGTTAAATTCTGTTGAATTATATGTACTTTTAATTTTTTCATGTAAAAGTAATGAAACATAAATAATATAACATTTGCAATTGTGAGAATGCAAACCAAGGCTAAAAGAACACAGTGCTAACTTCTAAATCTGGAAGAGCAGCTCAGAAGAATTTGTGAGCAGTCATGCAGAAAGTGGCAGAGGAGACTAGAGATGGGGTGAGGAAAGAAATCGATTGTTTTTAGGGGGAGGTGTCATGTTACAGACATGAAGCATGATCCAACATTAAGGTAAGCCATGTAACTGAGTTACCAGATTTTTAACTGAAGTAATATGTTTAGGTAGAAGAAATCTTGCAGAGCTGTACTAGATGATAACATTTGTGGTGGCTCAGCCATTTCAGTGCTTCCTTGGCTAGGGACACGTTACACAGAAACCAGTTTAAGTGATCAGAAACTGGTTTAAACCTGTAACAGAACATAAGTTCAGTGCACATAAACCAGTTTCAAAGTGGCTGAAAATGGTTTAAGGTAAACCTGGTTGAATGTAGTATCAGGCTTAACTGATCTGGGTCAAACCAGTTTATGCAATGTCTGTCCCAGCTCCCTTCCTGGTTTAAGTTAAACCAGAGTCCCCCAGCATCCCAGATGCTTTGCAGCCCTGGGCTGGGCTGGGCTAGGCTGTCTGCTGGAGCAGAGCAGGGTTGGTCCCACCCCGCTCCTTCATATCCAGAGCACTATCACTGCTCTGGCTGGCTGAGGGATTGCAGCGGCTGTCAGGCTTCCCCCTGCTTCCCCCTCCCCTCCCCCCCCCGCTGGCTGCTCAAGCAGGTATTCCTCCCTCCCCCCTCTTTCCCATGGCAGGGACCTCAGCACAAGGACCCAGCATCGGGTCATGCCCCCCCATGCTAGCTAATGCTGAGAGGTGCCTGTGTGGGTCTCCAGTTTCACTGGAATAAAGGCAGACAGCTAGTGGTTTGCAAATGCAAATGAACCCTGCAGATAAGAAAAGCCTGAAACTAATGAGATAGATGTTTTCTTTTGTAGGGCTTGATGGGCTGATAAACTTTGTTCGACAAGCAACCTGCTAGCTGCAATCTCTGTCTTTAAGAGGGGATGAGGAAAGGTGTTAGAAATGACCTGGTTTGCAGACAGTACAAAGAAGCAGGGAGAGAGAGATTGAAAAGCTCAGTATCAACAGATGCAGGGTCTGGCAATACTTCTGCCCCTTGAGCAGGGAAAAGCCTGGGATGGTGCAAGCATGGTCAGGGTTTACACCCCTCCCTAATCAAAGCATCCTGCTAGGGCCTCAGCTCAGCACTTAGGAAGGAAAGGGAGGGCTGCTCTAGCACCCCCCCCTCCTTTGCTTCTAGCCTGAGCTACTGCATGCATGTGTCTGCATTTCTGGAATGAAAAGGAAATGTCTATCCACCTCCAAATTGACTCAAAAGATTGAATCAATTCAGGCTCAGGCTTTTTGATTGTTTGTCCCTAGCCATTGTTGCAAATCTTCACCTATTAAGTGGGTTGAAAGTAGATAACCCTCTCAACAGTTGCTGCTATGCAAAGTGTTTTATAATGTACACAAGTATGCAGACTTGCAGCTTCTTGCTCTCCATTGGTGCAGGAAGTCAGCTAAAACCCATTGGGATATGTAGGGAGAGTTTACTGCTATAACTTCAAAAGAAAAGGAGGAGTGTGATGGCAATAATATCTTCTTAAACAGAGTTTAAAAAGAATTGAAAAAATGATCAGTGGGTGATTAGAACTACTCTTTTCAGGTAATTTTCAGATTCTCAGAAGTCTCTTTTGAAAGCAGTAAAGTCCAGTTATAATGTAGTTTCTTTTTTTTTTTTGGTTGCTTGTCATGTTTTGAATTCCAGTTACTCAAGGGGAGATTGCTCATCATCAGGTTTACCTGGTTAACAGTTTATTCCAGAGGCTGAAGTTTATTTGTGGGATTTCCTGAGATTGACCTGTATCTTTTTTGTTTTGTTTTGTTTTGTTTTGTTTTGTTTTGTTTTTAACTTGTCCAGATGACACATGTAGCTTCCTTAACCAGAGGCAGTTGACTTTGTATAGCCTTTAAGGAAACTCACTGTTGATTTGCAGCCTATCTTTTCTCCCATTCTTATCAATATTAATAACCTCTTTAATTTAAAATACAAAAAACTGACTCTGGCTTTTAGTGATGGTCAAAGCAGTTAACCCAAATGTCTGTTTATGTAAAATCAAAACGGAATTCTGATTTACTCAACATTATTTTAATTGGAAATGCTTCAATTGGGTCACAGAATATCATTCATTCTATTTTAAGCACAAACAGACAAACCAGTCCTAACCTTCCTATCTTGAAAAGCAGTTTGGCTGAAAAGCAGTTTGGCTGAACGTATGTTGAGTTTTCATATATAAACAACAAAATCTGTTCAATAAACATTACCCCACATAGAAATGCAGTAGTAGTAGCTATTGTATACTATTTTCAAACTTTTCATCTTATAAAACTTTTACACAAAGGCTGGATTCAGTTGCATATGCTTTTGGAAATCCTTCCTCTCCCAAGTTCTCACCCTATTGAAAGGCTGCATAGATTCTCATATCATTTCTGGTGGGAACCATGTTGTAGGTACCTATATAACGTACTGGTGTTTAAATACCAATCAGAAGGTAAAGCACATATGTTTAATTCTTTAAAACTTTGATTGCAGAAAAAATTATAATACATATGTATACATTCTTCTTCTTGACTTTAATTACAAAAGTACTTTTAAAAACTTCCAAGAGGTAGTTGCTCTTAGCAACAGAGCAAGATGTAATAATTTTATTTTGCTTTCACATTATACCAAATAGCTAATATTGAGTGAAAAGTGAGTATTTCCATTTTATCCCCAAATGTAACATTTTTAGCAGATTGGAGATTGTATTTAAGGTACTGTATAGCCATGCATAAGCCATGTGATATGTCTGTTGTCATGCAGGACTGATTCAGAGATTTATGAGGATGCAGTAGAACTTCAGCAGTTCTTTATTAAAATCCGTGATGAACTCTGCAAAAATGGAGAGATTCTTTTGTCACCAGCACTTAGCTATACCACCAAGCATCTTCACAACGATGTAGAAAAAGAAAAAAAGGAAAAACTACCAAAAGAAATAGAAGAGGATAAGCTCAAACGAGAGGAAGAGAAAAGAGGTAATTATTTTCATTCCAGAAATCTGGACTATAAACATTAGAAATGAACTAATTATGTGATGCATCTTCTATTATGCAGCTCCCCATAGTGAAGCATGTCATATTTTTTATATTCAGCAAGTAAAGCTTTTATTCAAAATTTAGAGAAAGTTACCTTTTTTATTATCATCATCCTGTTTTTCCTCAAACCATGTGCATGTACATAAGCTATATCTCCAAATTGCATTAAAAATATCTATAGCCAAATGTCAACCTATTCTGTTTTTCATTGGAATATGTTTAGGTGTTGCTGGCTTAACTCCAGGGGCATTATCAAGTAATGTAATATTTTAATGTCTTTTTTTTCCCTGCCGCTTAATGTTCTCACAGACTTGGAAATCTTTATTCTAATCAAATGTTGTCATTTCTTGTTTGAAAATTTTTAACTTTCTGAGGGTTCAAAAAAGTATTTTGACACAACTTCTGTCTCCTGTCTTGCTTTTAATATAGCTAAGGGGATGTTCTAAGCCAGCCCTTCAGAGTTCCTGCTGGGGGTGCTCTGAGAGGGAAAGAAACTGGCTTATGGCATTGTGTTGGACAGAGTGGCCTTTGTAAAGAACTTCTCTGTCTCTGTGTTCCCCTGTTGCCTCTCTGCTGTTCACGGCTTTAGGTCCAGCTTTGAGGAATGGATAAAGTTGGCCACAGGCATCATGCCACTGTGAGAGAAGAGGGTGATTCCAGCATAGGTCACGGCGGTGGTGGAAGTGCAGGTACTTCCGCATGCAGCACAGAGCCAATTTCAGGGGGAACACTAGCGTTCTCCATGCCCACCTACCAGCCAGAGAGTTTGCTGTCAGAGGGGGCACGTGCCCCCCACCCACCACCCAGAGTCCCCCTGTGCATTGCCTATGGATTCCAGTCTTTCCAAACCCCTTGCCCCTCTCCCATGCCCTCTTACAGCCCCAGTGTGATAAAACACA